TTCCATTAAAATATTTATCATATTATAATATTTGAGAAAAGCAATTAAGACTGAATTTTCTCCAAAATTATTAAGGATATTTCAGAAAATCGAAATTCAATAATATGTCGTATGCATTTATATTTTTGGTATTTCACATCTTATCTCGATGTATGCAGAAACTCGGCTGTACATTCCAACAAGAAGTGTCGTAATATCAATCATCGACTAGAATTCCAATAGAATCCGTTCTACCATCATCATATTTCGTTCTCTCCTTTCCTTTCGTGCATCTCGGCTTGTTATAAACGACTGCAGGTGTTTATATCATAAACGACTGCCGTATTTTCGTATGTGGAAACTAATGATCGTAATCAAAACGACAAGCAGCAATGATTAGGCGTGGTTATGCAATAGCCGCGGAAATAATAGACGCCACATCGTATAATAAGCCTTGATTACGCTGTTTCCTTCGTCGTGCTGAATGCGCGTTGTCGGTCTCGTGTGCGATCTTGATGGGAATCGTTACATATATACAGAGAGAGAGAGAGAGAGAGAGATAATTTGCACGGCACTGCATTGCGAAGTTTTCCGCAAATACGAACGAGAAAGCGCGCATCGGGAATCGTCGTAATTTTAGTATCTCGGCCGTTAAATGCGCTTTGAAGCAATGTTGTAAAAGCAAATTCACTTGGATGCACTAATCCTCATTTAGAATTTTTTTTATTGACTCTTTGTTATCGTTAATTTAATTGTCATTTCGGCAGTAAAATATCTTGTAAATAGAAATACAAGAAGTAGCGATGCATTACCAAGTCTCTAAGCGAGAATGGAAAATATTTGCTTCAATTATGCAACTTTTTTTAATTAATTGCACAATTTGTAGGAATTCTCTATCTTTCTTCTAATTGCTAGTTCTACTGAAACCAGTTCTCGACGGTAACTTTTTTTTACATCGGTTTCTAAATTGTTCGTTCAAGTTGAATAAGACGATCGATATGGATGTCGCGTAATTATTAAGTAATACTGATACTGCAAAGTGGATACCGCAAAGCAAAATTCGACGATCTTTCCGTGTTGCTGGATAAACCGCATCGAGTTCGACCACATTTTATCGATGCGTGCCGTTTCCCGAACGGCGGAGAAGAATGGAAACGCATAAGAGTGCGGTGGCGCGATACACTAAAGTAAAGAGAGAGAACTAACGGGGCGACGGAGGGGCATTCTTCCTCGGGATTAACCTTGGACTTGACTCGAAGGAATGCGCCGTGCAGTGACCTCTGCACGGCACACTCGCTCGCTCCCTCGCTCATTCACTAACTCACTCGCTCACTAACTCACGGCGCACATCTTGCTCACCTTCCTTCTCTCCGTCGCCCCATTTCGCTTCACCGTGGGCGCTACAGCCTGCTGGTCAATGCATTCTTTCACGGCCAGTTCTCGAGTCCTTCCGAACGGTTTCGGCGTCTCTACCGAAAAATTTAGGACGAAAATTTGGGAGGCAATCATTTTCGGATTAAATTTAGATCTCGTGGACGAATGGATAATAGAAAATCCCCTCAATCTTTAAGATTTATCTTCAGTGGTGCTATGTAATGACACATGATTTACACGAAGCGTGTACAAAGATAGCAAATAAAGATTACACTCGGAGAATTGTTGATGTCGTCTTAAGGCGGATGGAAATAAGCACGTTTGATTACGGTAATTTCGTAACAATATTATCGCAGAAGAGATCCATGCGAAATTTCATAACGACTTGATATAATTTGTCTAAGTATTTCTCGAAGAATGAAACCCTAACAAATTTTTGTGAGTGTTCTCCAAAATAACGAGATGAAAATTATTCATATTATTTCAATGGGGAACTGTTTAACTTTTGCGTTATTTCCGTATAGATAATAATCTTTGGGTTCAAATATTTTTATTTATCTGTTTTAAGAGAAACTTGGCTGAAACATGAAAATTTTTTTAATGTGATATATATTTTTTTATTTATAACGCGTGTTGTAATGCGGATAGTAACGAGAGCGTTGTAAAAATGTAAATTAACAATAGAAAAAGAGGAGTCTGCTTCATGATCTCATGAATTAGATATATTTCAATCGCGATACTATGTTTCTAAAGATTACTTGAAAAGATAATTTGAAGATAAATTTCTTTGGACGGACGCAGCGCGACTGCAAAAATCTTTTCTCGATTGTAAATCTTCTAACCACAGGAGATTGCACAATAATAAAGATCCTTCTGTAATTCAGTGAGATACTATTTGATTTTACGAGCTCTTACGTAATTTTATGCAAGTTTTGATGAAAAATTAGTAAAAATCCGATAGTGTTCGCGTGATTTTGCTGTTCAGACTGATTTCAAAATCAGTTTCAGATTCATTTCCTGAATGGCTGTCGAGGTCAGGTAGGCGTTTAAAAAGAATGCGTTGTACATTTTTAAAATTTGATCTCATTTTATCGCAAACGACAAAAGTGACGCGGATAAAATTAGCTTTCCATTGCGATTTACCAGATCGCATTTCGAAATACCGGTATCTCTCGAGGTTGACGAGAGATACCGGTATGTACGTACATGTATACGACGTGAAAGACCAATGATTATTATCGATATTTACTGGTTCTTTACTTCGATAGAGTCATCGTTCTATAAATACATCGCAATAATAGCGGACATAATAATGCTTACATTGTTCGTCCTAGCTTGTAACATCGCGTTCGCTATAAAATTATAAATTTACAGAACATTTTACATCGTTTTTCCTATACGAGATTTTAAATAAAATCTAACTTTATATCTGCGTTATTAAATTCATGAAGAATTTAACACTTAAATCTAATTTACGCTTCAAAAACATTTAAAATAAAATTTCGAGAATATTTGAAAGTTACTTTTAATAAGTTTAAAATTGACAATTTTTGAAAAATTTATTAATTTTTGTATAGATATTTTATGAAGAAATATTATAAATAAAATGTACAAAGAATAAAATACTTTTCGTATATTAAGCCGTGGCAAAATACATAACTGAATAAAATTATTTCTTATTTGATTTAATATAAAAATTTTACTTGAGACTTTGTTACTGAGAGAAAATCAATTTAAAAGAATTTAAATGTTATAGCAAAAAACTTCTTCAAATTCACTAAAGAATTAATGTTCGAGATATTGTTTGGTTAATGCAAGACTCACTCTGCAATCTTATTTTGATAGAATACATTGTTTCTTAGATGAAACTCGCAGAGATGATTGCGCTATTCAGTGTTCGTTTTGCCACGTAATCGTGAAGTATGCAAGCTATTCAGGTATAACGAGCCATAGCCGATAAAACAGTGATTAATCTTCAATAATAATAGATCAGAGGCGTACGCGATACTAAGGTCATCGCGATGACTGTGCCGGCACTCGTCGGACTATTACGGCCTTCGGCTGAAAATAGACCGGGTGACTTTGTGATTATGGTACATATGCGTAGACTCACTCAATCCACATGGACAAAAGAAACTACACAATGATCACGATCGAGAGATTGTCAGAGCGATATTATTTGCTATCAACTAACTGATTTTTATTCGTCTCATAGTTGTCTCGTAGTTTTGCTTGTGTCTTGCGGGTTTTTTTTTTAGTAGTATCTCCTGTTACGCAAATGCGTGTATTTATTTTAGATGACTTTAATCAATAGTCGCTTGATTTTTATTTTAAAACAGCGGATAAATTATTTCCTAAATATTACTTAACTTTAATTTAACATCTGATGCATAATATACGTATTACAGGCATATTATTAGCTTTAAAATATCACAATTTTTTGATATTTGAAATTTGATTAAGTTGTTTTTTTTATTATTAATTTATCAGAGTTAAAAATAACATATCATAATTATAGAAATGAAAAAGTGTCTTCCTCGGCGCAACTGTTTTTCGGATTTAATTCTTAAGAAACGTGATTTTTTTTTCGAATACATAGTGAGATATACGCGATAAATAAAAGCCCAAAAGTCACCGCTTTGTAAGTCGCGACGATAAAAACTTACCGTTTATTGGCTTTCTCGTCGAAACCTGAGAATGACGCGATGTCATCTCGGGTCTGTGGTAAGCGAAACGTTTTAGATGAAACGCATGAAAAGGAGATGGTGGTGTGCCTTATCTAATCGCAAAACAGCTCGACTTGCGACTAGCACGTCCGAGATTAGCACGGTGCACGGCACACAATGCATGGTCATTCATTTTTTTCTTGCTAGAATACGCTTAATAAGATACTGTCTGCGTAATCAAAAATCAATCACGAACTTTTTAGAAATTCTCGTAAAAATTCAATCGTTAATATAAAATGTACAGGTAACACGGGAAGAAACTGTTGTTGACCAAAAGTTAAATAAAAATTTTGAGTAACTGTTATAAAATAATAATTTTCGTGGCTCTCATTTTTATCCATTTTAGATTTTTTATCGAAAACTTATTTGGTCTTATAAAGTAATGGACGAGAAATCGAAATTGTCACGCTTGACAATAGCTGGCAATCGGATGCATACACCGCTACGGATTCGACCTTCGATTCTTATTATCAGACACATGTATGTATATCATTGTAGCGAGATTCGCATTTTGTTTTTATTCGATTATCCGCGCGCATACGTAGAAAATGAAATGAAAACTGTGCACGATGGTAACTCACAATCCGAGATAAGCTTGACCAGCTTGTAAAGGAGGTATGTGCGCCGTCGACGAAGTATTATCAATCGTGATATAATAGTTCACGATAGTTTGCTCCGATCCGGGATATCTCTTTTTGTAACTCGAATAAGCTGACGTCAATCGGCAGCCGCCATTATTTATGCACATCGGCGGCATCACGCGCGAATTGCAATGTTTATTCACCGAATTAGCGCGAATTGTGCTCGAAAGTGCAACGAGCTAATCCCCAACTGTTCTTCTCTGTGTGTATGTTGATCTTGTAAAACGCTTATCATTTGTTTCAGAAGACGTGGGCTACAGAAGTGTCGAGATCACGTCCGCTTTCACGCATTTGCCGCAGAAGGGTGAGTATTCCTCCTATTTATATCTGTGAAGTTTCTCCCTATCGATGCAATTTCTTATAGACGAGTTATCAATTATTTATATAAATTTAAACATGGTGCAATTTCTATGATTTAATTAATATAAAAATATCTTTAATAATCGTTAAGGTCTTCGCGATACACCGCATTCTGTGTTAATGATTACAGTTTCAGAAAAAAAGATGTTTATCGTAATATTTTTATTTTATTTTTGTTCTATACATAATCTATATAATCTGTTTCCACTGAAGGAGAGTAACCTACTTCTCAGAATGCTTACGTATAATCATAGGTCAACTGACGTGATATTTAATTCATAAGTCATAAGAATTAGATTCTGTATTGATTCCGGCGGATGTAAGATACTAATTATAAATTCAAATTTTTTTGTGATGTGTTTGAGTTATGGAAACTGCGTTCTATTTATTATAATGAACACTCTATTTCAAAACCTACGACGGCAAATATGATCTGATTTTAAGCTGCTCAATTATTTTATCAGCAACTGTGAAACGCTGTATCAAAATAGATTACAAACAGATTATTCATTTATAAATTTAATTTATTGAAAAGAGAACAAATTTTAGAAACAGATTTTATTTCTTCTAAATCTGCTAAGATTGCTTCTAAGTCGTAATAACTGGTACATTATAACTATTCTAATCGATATCGAAGCGAAGCAGAGAAAACAAAATCACTATTAAATTGTTTATACGTCTATAATTTACTGAATTAGTTTTTGAACTTTTTTGCCATTCGACATCGCTATTTCACGAATACGTGATAATCGATAATCTTTTTGTCTTTACATTTTGTAACATTTCTTAACAACTTCCTTTTTTTTGTTTTATATATGTATAAAATTTTTAAATCATCTGTAATTGAAAAAAATATCAACTACCTTAACACATATACATATATTATTTGCTTAACAAATGTTCAGAGAGTATTGGAATGCTGTAATTAATTAAACAAATATATTCTAATTGCCTTTCGTATGCAATGCGTTCCATATGTTATAGTGACTTGCAAAATGATTTAATAAATGCAATTTAAAGAATTAAATAGTGCGTAATAAAGCATGTGCAACATAGCATAATTACATATGTAAAGATATAAAAATATATCATATAATATATATAATATATATTATATATTACAAGATATATAATTTGTTATGTCATTATAAAAACGTTTAAAAAAAAGTAATGGAATAAGCGATAAGATTTAACGTAAAAATTTAATTTTTTTAAATATTATCATTAATTACGCGATTGCGTATCTAAATTTTTGAAATTTTATGAAGACGCTAGATTTGTCTTGCACTCTCAACGATTAATTTTTTCAAATAATTTTTTCAAATTTTTTCACTTGTCACTTGCATTAATAGGCAGTCAATAAGTCCGATAACCTTGAGTATCATAAATAGATTTTTATTTCGTCGTCGTCGCCATCTCGCCGTCTGTCGTTCTAGAATAAATAAAATGAAAAAGTAAATCTGATATATATTCTTTGTTGTCTTTGCCGCTTGATCTTTGATATAAAAAAATTAAACGTATATACGCGCATGTCGCGATACTAACAAAAATGTCGTTATCAGCATTCCTCTGTAGTAAGCTTCGAATATATATGTTAAATCTTTTATTTATTTTATTGGAAATTCAAGAATTGAATAAGAGCTCTTCACGAAATCGACATATCTGATTCCGAGAAAATTAAAACCTCAGAAAATATAGTATGTGAGTGAAGAAAAATTGACGGGGGAAATTTTATTTTGAGAGGGATTATGTTTTAAGTATTCTTTCTGACAGTTATATTGTGTGTGTTTTGTGTAATATTATATTTTTTATTCCGTGTGATATTACATTTAATTTTTTGTATCATAAGTATTTTACAAGATTATTTGGATCTTTCAAACGAGCAAAGCTCGTCAATAAAAATAATATTAATATATTCTATTTTATTTAGTTGCTAAATTTTTGTTTCAGCATTTGTTAGATCTGTTACACTGTGGAAAAAGAATGTAAACAAATTTCGATAAAGATTAAGGATGAGATTGATAATTTTGAACAATACACAATGTTTTACAAATATATGTTAATTTAAAAAAATACCTTTATATTTTGCACAAAAGTGTTTTATTGAAAAGAATAATCTCATAAACTACGTCGATATACGTAGATATCTTTAGAAGTAAAAATAGAAGCTATGAAGTGAATGTTAAGTAATTTATTTTTTTTCCATCGATAGTTTGAACCTTTGGCCCTTACTTCAATATTATCGTCCACAAAAAATAGAAGCAATAAGTAGTTCATTGATTACATTTAATTTTATTTTTTATTTTTTTTTTTTTTTTGTAGGAAGAATTTACATTGTGAAAACGGTTATCCAGTAATCGATGACACTATCGTGATTCTTATGGTTTTGAACAGCCGAAACATTAGAATATGAGTGGAGATTGAAGAGAAAGTCAAGAATAGACGCGTTAACTCAGTCGCGACAAAGTATTGTAATAATAAATTCCGTTCACTTCACGTTGTCAATTACGCTTGTTGTGACAAAAAGGTTACCGTGTTTATTGGCGCAGCAGTTTTTGCGCGTAATTGACGCTGTCTGTAGAACCGCGAAACGCTCTCGCGAGATGCTCTCGTCGACGTAGATCCGCATGGAGAACTCGTGAACGGCTGACCAATATCCCCGATCTTCGATTCTGTGTATCGCGCCGCGGCGCGCTGCATCGTTTTCCATCGCGGATGATGAGGAATTATCACAGCCGCTTGTGGCCTCCGATTGTTCAGTCGCGATCCGTCCACCGAGCGGGCAACCTCGCGTCCTCTCTCGCTCATCGGCTTCCCCCCTTCTGTGTCACAGAGAGCTCCCCTTTCCCCTTCTCTCTCTCACCTCATCTTCGCTCTCGCGTAATCGCTTCCAGCGCGAGCTAAATTTAGCGCTGACCGTTGCTTTTGCCGAGCCGAGCAGTATATAAAGCTTCTCCTCGCCTCCGCCGTCGTTTCCTGCACGCGTGCACCGGAGGTCGCGGAACGCAGGAAGAACGCTGTCGGACCTCACAGCCGTCGCGCGCAACGGCTGTCCCACCTGTGAAGCCATCATCGCGACCACGCGCGGACTGACGGAACATTTCGGAGTGCGTGACGATGCAGTCGCGATCGCGCGCAGCCTGAGCGTACGTCGTTGTCGGATGTAAGAAAGAAAACAAGTGCGTTGCGGTAAGCAGCCTGAATCGCGATGCGATAACGGAAATCTACGGATACGGTTATCAGTACACGCGCTTGGAGTTTCTTCACGGCACAGTTTACTCGTTGGGAAAAAAAAACTTAATAAAACGTGTCTCAGTGTGCGATTCATGATACAATTGGCACAGTGTGTGCTCATGTGTGCGCAATAACTATAGCGGCACGTGGAAGAGTTCGAACTTGTATTTGCGACGATAAAGAGCGTCGTGAATGGTGTGACGCTCGCGGAGTCTATCAAGTGGACAATTTTCTCCTTGAACTAAGATTTCGTGTTTTCTAAATAACAGTGACTCTTTAAATTCAAAACTCATTATCAAAGCGCGATCGGTGAAGCATAGCGGGGGCTGCTTCGCGAGACGCGTGCAAACCGAGCGAGCGATAAGTGGTCGCGCGCGTACGCGTGTATTGCACGTAATAAACGCTAAAAATAGCCGCGTTATCGCGTCGCAAGCGAGTATCGAAGCGATAAACATCGCAGTGACAACACGCACACACGTCGTCGCGCTCGAATTCCGCAGTTTTCTCTGCGATCGCGATATCGCGCGATATAACGTGGGAGGGGCGGGACACAACGGTGCTTTTCACTCGGACATACTTTTATTCGAAACCAGGCGCGATGAGAAGGCCGAAGAAGAGAGAAACTGCGTTCTTGCGGAACACGCTTCCCCGCGACACCGCTCGGCCGTTCCAAAATTAGCATTCGTTTCGGCTACTCGGGAACGACGGGGAAAAAAAACAGTCGGCACGATTAAGCGCGATTGATGTAATTGCGCGTTTCCGAGAAACTGATGTGTTGTTTGGAAAAGAAGCGGCGCAAAAAATTCTCCTTTCTGCATTAATGCGACTTCAGTTTCCTCAATATATTTCATATCTCGACATTATTCTAAAAATATCTACGACGCTAATGAGAGTGTGGATAAAATATACCGGTTTCTTCGAGATGATTCTTTCAAGTGTTAATTTTTTACCGACATTTAATGCCTCGGCTAAATACGCGTTATCGGGATAACGTGACGCGCGTGGTATAAATATTGACAAAAAGATCCACACAACAAATTGGGTAACAGGAAGTGCAGTATTGTGCCACGTTATTGAACAAACATTGACAAAAATTGTCGAGACATTAGTAGACATCAGGAAGTGATTTCTCAGCGACGACAGTGGAAGGAACGTCACAAAGAATGTGCTTCGAAGATTGAATTCAATACCAGTTATTACGGCTTTGCGATCGATGGCACGGTGAATGCCTCATTTGTCACACAAAAAAAAACAGTTTTAATCCGTGAGTAAAGCATTGGGATGTTTATCGTGCAAACGTGAAAGTTGTTTAAAACTTTGTTTCGAAATTGTTTACCGGTCGCAGAGTGAATTTATAAAGTTTTTTCATTTCAGTGCAAAGAAGTTAAATTTAGATTAAGAGAAATATTCGATAAAAAAAATAAAAAAAAAACTATGAGGGTTCACGTAGAGCGGACGAGTGCTTTCGAGCGATACATTCGCGCGGAAAACTCGAGCGCGAAGGTCGTCGGTGGGCCTCACTACCACAGGACGATCGCTCAACGCCACGCGCGTGGCGCTTACGGTGGCATGTTACCGGATATGTGCTGTTGTTACATGTGTATAGAGATGGCCAGGGACACGCCGGGGTCGCCGATGCCACGACCGCGGGATTTAGGCACCGGCGGCGGGGGCGGCGGGGCTACGGCCACCTTGACTTCCGGCGCTTATCACGCCGCAGCCACCGACACCGCCAACCTGCACGACCATGCGCTCCAGCAAAAGATACTCGAGGTAACGTATGACTGTACATATACATATGTGTATTGCATAATGTATCATGTCGTTACATACGAAATGCCGAATTCTCTGTGAGTTTGTTTTTGAAAAGCAACAAAGTGCTTTTGAAAAGTAAACGGTTCGGCTAATGACACATTTAATGTGTCACGTTGAAATGATAAACTGCATTCTTTTACGAAGTATGTTTTCGTTTTCACGGAATGCTTGCAGTTTTCAAGTTATAATGAATTTGTAAAAATGTAGAAAATGACGAGATCTCCATGTCATTATTCTACAACATTAAAAAAACTGGCATGAAAATGATTTGCAATAAAATACTAGGATAATTAATTGCAAATTGTTTGCTGGTTTAGAAAAAAAGGAACAAAAACTGGGTTATTTACATTTACATGACATTTACATTACATTTACATTACATTTACTTTTTATTAGCTGGTGCTCGCTAATGTTGGTACCGCAAAGCGTGTTTGTGCTCGTCTTTAGCCAGAATGTTGCTGAAATAAATTACAGTGGTGTATAATCATCGTAGAAATTCACTTCGGAATACACGAAGTTTAGGTTTAGGTTGCCGCAGCCAAGCTTAGTTTCGGTGAATTCGATCGATCGTGCGCGCTTTAGTTATATCGCAATTAAGTTCAAGGCCTCCGATGCTTCCGCGAAGGTCAGGTTTAACGCTGCGGAGAATACGCCGGAAAGAAAATATATCACGTACGATATTCTGCGATTGCAAGATTACGTTGCTATCAGGTCTCATCTGAAAACAGAACGTGCGGACCTCAGCACATGTGCATGAAACGTGGATAACATATTTTTATCGTGATACAAATTTAATATCAAACGTGCGTTATAACGGGTACTTAGTTATTTTTTCCCAATCGAAGTCGTCACATTTTACCACTTTGTAGATTATTTATTAGATTATTTCTCCCTGATTTGTTAATACACAGTTATAAGAACTCACTATCAAGTTAGCATTATATTTTATTAATGAATGTTTGAATGAATTCAAAGTTGAATTTCTCTTGGCTACGAGAAAAGTCATGACAAGAGTTAGACAATTAATTTAGTAGAAATTAATTTAAGAAGTAGAATAACGCATAATTAATTTTAATATTTTGCAAGATCTGTCGTGTCCGATGAATTTATTATTGAGATTAAAATGGTAATTTATTGGATATTGTATACTGCTTGTGAGTACATTGTTATATATACATATATGACGGAACTGACCGCATCGGATAAATATCGATCATCTGGCGGAAATCTCGGTGCGACGTGCGGCGTGTCGTGCATGGTAATCGCACGCGTGTTGCTGCGTAATGCGTCCGTGCGACAAATAGAATCCGATTACCATACGCGCGGCTCGACAGAAACAACGTAAACAGAGCGAAGGGAGAGCGCGGTGTTGTTTTCCGCGGCCGGCGTGGCGCGCCTGCTTTATCGCGAATATTTCCGCGACGGAATTCACAATATTATTGATACACGATGATAAACTTACTTAATGCGCCATTCGTCTCGTAACGTTCGCGCGCGCGCGCGCGCGCTTGTATTCGCGATGCAGCGACAGATGGTTGTAAGCGTTTGCGATAGCGCCTTTGATTGGTGATGTAATTCATACGTCTGACTTTAAGCGTCTTTTATTGTATCTAAATTCAGAAGAATTCGCCAGCTGCGAAGGATTGATTAAACTTTGAAAGAAGATTCGATGATTAAAAATTTAGGAATACAAGCCTGAGCACAATCAACATTATATATGTTTATTTATTTTACATATATAGAGCAAATATCTAGTAAATTATATATTTTTAACTATTATATAATTTATATCTATATTTCTTTATTAGTAATATTACTGCCATTCTTATATATTGTATACGAAGAAAAATACTATTAGGATTATTTGTTTCTTGATTGTCCAGGCTCTAACTTTCAAGTTAAACTCATCTAAGATCGTCCTAATTAACTTTATATACACTGAAAAAAGTAAAACAGCAAAAATGCGCATATTTTCTTAGAATCCAAATTATCGTAAAAAAAAGACAGCAATATTTGCATTTAAATCGCTTTTTCGTTACACTAGTGCTAAAATTTCCCAGAGTTTTTACAAGTTCCAATACATTTTAGAAACGTGTCAAAATACATTTTGCAGAGAGACGGTTTCGTATAAATAATTCTTTCATTATAAAGTGAGAAAATTAAATACGACGATATTTGCAGATATTACACGATTATACGATTTTATGGAATCTGCTCATTATTCTCGTAGAATATACATAAAAGATATGTAAACGTCATATTATTATTTCATATTTACAGATATATTTAGAAACAAATAAAGCAGGTCATCAGAAAAACAATCAAGAATTTTGCTCAGTTTGCAATTTTGCTTGGACAGATTTGCCGATTCGTCGTTAATAAACAGTGTCGCTAATAAACAGAATATCAATTATTTTGCATATTACAATGTGTTCAAAAATTGATCACGGTAGTGGATCATTGGTAGTGGATCTTCATTTTTCGCATAATTTATGTTTGATCTTTTGTCGAGAAAAATTTGTTTAAAGGTTTTTTGCTGAAAATGTAAAAAAAGATATAATTAATAAGTTTTTCAGAGAAAATATGTTAAATTTCTTAGTAGCTTTTTACTATCGATCTACATGTTTTATCTAATGATAGACGTACAATATAATTTAGAAATTTTTAAAGAGATTTGTGAACTAACAATAATTTTGCGGCATACCAAGTAAACTTAGCCTCGCTCATAACTTGACTCTTGAACTCGACGCATATAATTAACATAATTTTCATAATATAAGCACATGGCGTTCAATTTTCCCAGGAAGATAACTATACATCGAATTAGGAATCATTATTATCATACGTAATATGCTTTATCATCTTTTTTCCACTCGTTACTCACTCTTGAATATTAATTTGCAATAAATAATTTTCGTATAAATTTTATAGAAATTAAATTTGAAATTAAAATTTAGATTTCCATAAGAACCTGAAGTCTCATGATGATCAATCCAACAATCAGAAAGAGAGTTAAGAAATTAAAAAAAAGAATGAGCCGCGTGGTCAGAAGCGATCGTTCCGATGTTGTTAAGCCACGATGATTATTATACTCGCGTATCCAGTCTTGTATCATAATGGTGTTTGGATCTAACATTTTAGGGCCCAAAATAGCCTGTAATTAGATTAATATGTTATTCGGAAAGCTCTACATATAGATATATAATTTTTTTACATTAAACTTTCGATTACATTCCGCTAAATATTTTTTTTAATATAAACATATATATTTAAAACGATATTTAACATATATAAAATTTTTTACTACTTTGTCCATTATATTTAAAACTATTAATTAGGAAAAACACAGTGAAATATTAAAATAGAATATTTTTATATCTTTTTCTATTTTAGGGATACGTTTTGCGTCTTATTTTTACATTTTACTGTATTTTAGTCAGTGAAGTTTACTATTACTTATTGGCGGAAGTAGCGATAACAGTATGCATACTAACAAAGTCGCAGGCCAAGGCCACTGAATTCAATGGTGCCCTGCATAATGGACAAGGTGGCGGCGCAGGTGTGATTCTAACGTCGCAGTAACTCGCCAGACATTCCGCACACAGTAAATGACCGCAGGGCGCTTTTACGCCGATCTTCGGCGCTCCCAAACAGATCGGGCAGACCTCGCCGTTGTACGTCACTACGGATCTGTCATCGCTGTCAGAAAAACGAAAATGCACCGCGCTCTTTCTCATTGTGTATGTATAGGTATTATATACGCGAGGGATGTTGCTTGTATTCGCATAATCAACACTGACATAAACCAATGAGGTGTAAATTTAAACGTTTGAATGTTATACATGATGATTTTCGATGGAGAGGAAATTGTTTTATTAATTTTTCAAAAATAATTCTTGATACATCTAAAAGCGAAAGTAGTATCTTACTTGAAAATAATTAATTGTACCTGAGCTCGTTTATTTCAATATCCGAATTACCATCTGGCTCGATCGGAGTGTTTTGATTCCTTCGTAAGCTCCACCTTCCGCCAGACGAGTCCTTCTTTCTGAACAACAGGACGTAAATACCGTAACCTACCGCGAGTACCGTAACGCGAAGAGCGTATCCTTTCCATCCCGAGATCGGGCCTTCGCTCGGAGGCATAATGAAGGCCAGGGTTCTCGGTCTGTATTGTTCCGTGAAGTTCATTTCATAGTTTTCCCCTCAAACTGATTCAATTAATTTCAGTATTTCAATCATACAATTTGCCGATACTTTTCCGCAATGTACTGCAGGATCAACTCATTTGACAATTTCAAGATCGATGTTCAATGAGTCTTGGTTAACAGATTGATATTTGGATTATGACAGGCGGGAGACAGTGACAAAGCGATGCTCAGCTGTCTGTTATAATTTAAATTAATGATTTGAAATTAAGTTCATTATGAAATCGACTAGAAAAATTTACTATTTGATTATTAATACAACTATATTCCGCATCTAATTTTCAGAGCATCTAGAACATTATTTTCAAATGATTTTTGGCTCATTAATTATTTATACGATTTCATACATTGACTTTCGAACATGGAATGGCACAAAATCCCGTTTAAATTATGTTAATTAAATAATTAAAATTCTGTCACATCAGGATGATTGATCTGAAGCCGAGATACGATCAAGGACGCTTTTCGCAAACTCGATTAATGCGGTTTAAAGCGCTACCTGCTTTCTTGTAGTTTTGTCTGTAAAAAGAGACTAAGTCTCAGTTTTAAGGAATGTCAACGAGCACGATCGCAAGCGAGACAAGATTAATTCTAGGCTCACGTTCAACGCGGATCTGGTTTCAAATCGGACGATATCACAATTTTTTTAGGCTTACGCTTACAAAGTGCAACACATGCAGAGGAATCATATGACAGCGCGCGCGCGTTCGCGGACGTAACCAATTGGACGAAATCGCTTTGGTCTCTGTGTCAGCAACCCACGCACTTCCTTCTGAGAAAAGGCGACTCGAAGTCGCCCACATGCGACAAACGGCAACGAAAAACATTCGAGAGACACGGTGAATTGGATTAAACGAGTCAGATGCCACGTTGGCGTAAAACTTTGCCGCTAGCACCGGTAGCGCTATGCATACTTTTGTATTTCCACTCGACAAGCTACAAAAGCTTTTATTCAGAAGCATGCTGAAAAGCTCCCGTGTATAAATCTGCGTCTCTGTTCCTTTTTCTCTCTCTCTTTTTTTTTTTTTTTTTTTTTTTATTTTATCGAGAATTCCTTTATTGTCCGCTGTTTGCAAATTGAAAAAAAATAAGTGCTTGCCTCTAGATTAATATACTCTGGTATAGAAAAAAATTGTCATGAGACATGTGCGATAACGAATGCTTTGTGACGACTTCGGTTGAAAGAGAAAATACCCGATGTATTGATTTTTCCAATATCGTGCAAATTACAGATTGTCGATTTCTCATTTGCGAATTGCAGATATTTCACGCCTTCGGACATTTTTAGTATTTTAATCTTCAACTAAGGACATTACAATACCCTTGAGATATCTGGATTTGTTTCCAGCTACAGCAGCACCATCAGCTTCAACAGCAGATTCTCCGGCAGCAATACCAGGCCCAGGAACGACAATTGGCCGAGCTGCACGAGCAACAGATGCATCAACTAAAGGTAAGCCTAAATTTGCTAATTGCATCAATTCGAAGCGCGAAATTTCTGTTAAAATATAAAAATGTTTGACGCTAACTATGATATCCCTTCACAAAGTTATTTTTTTATTAAAAAACTTCTGCTTATCGCTGTCAAATGAAAAATAATCATCTCAATCTTAAAATAAATGAGCGTTCTCCATTTTTTCCTCCAAAATTATTAATACTATTTATACAATCAACTCTTCTAGAGATTATCACTTCTCGCGTAGCTTTATTTACATCACATTGCCGTGTTCGTGAAAACACGAGTCGTCTCGCAATATTTCTCGGTTGTTCACCGAAACATCTATGCCATGTTTCGCTTCTCGTGTCGCAGTTTCATTTTATAGCGCGCACGCGGAGTTGCGGGACGATCGACGTCCCGCTGAATGACGACGACGACGACGACGACGACGATGACGACGACGATCACCGGCGGTTAGCGGCAACAGCAGCCGCGCATTTATACGCGCATTTATACGCGCATTATCCGCTTATAATAGAGAGGATCCTTCTCGCTTTTTACTCGATACTTGCCTCTCGTCCCCGTCTGCGGCGGCGACTCTCTGGGAACGCCATTCTGCACCGCGCGTCTCTCGTTCTCTTTCTTCCCTTCTCTCTCTATGTTAGTCGAAAGTCCAGCGGAATATTCCTCTCATTGTCGACGAAGCGTGTAACGTGCGTCACGAAGGCGATAATAACAATAACGGTTCATCGTGAAAATAAGCTGGCCGCATCGCCGCGGAATCCCCGCGATTCTCGGGCCGGCCGTGCTCGCGCCTCTGCGGCCGCGATACTCTGTAATTTGCAACTGTAACGCGGATGCATTTTGACACCGGCCGAGAGTTGACGGCGATTAGAATAATGGTTTGCCGTTTTACGTAGGGAGATGAGAAGCAGGTCGTGTAACCAACTGGCATATACATTTTGCTCGATATGAGATTACTATCACTCGAGGACGAACTAATTTTTCGTGAATACAAAATATCCCGTTTCATCAAATCGTACGAGGAAAATTCTTCGACAAATTTGGAAGCAATTTTTTTTGTACGGAAGTAATTGCACGAGAATAAATACAAAAGTTTTCTCGCGTATCATATAAACGTGCGCATTCCAGCGGTTGCATTTTCTTCCTATGTTATTAATAGAATATTTTCACTTATCTTTTCGTATCGCTATTCTTGCGAAGTTCTACTGTAGATCAATAATCTTTCCACCTCGCGTGGCGTATATGCGTGGTGACACGCGTTTATCGTAATTATGCATGGATTCATCGTGTCGTATAATCTTCTCGTACGTGTAACGTAGTTTATTTGTCATAGAAAATTGCTGTGCACAGATGACACGAGGTATAATGAATGAAAATAGACGTGCGCCTAGCGTGTTTTTGACTTACAATTTACATAGTTTCAGTTTAGATGTTGTTACGTGCGTGAAATTGGTTGAAAAGGCATCTATTCATCGTTAATAATAAAAATCTTATAATTTTACATTTTTAGTTTGGAGTTTTGCAATAATATATATTTGTTGAACACAAATGACTTATTGCAAATTTGTTTGTTAGCAATTTTTTTATCTGTTATTTTCAGTTATTTCGTAAAATTTATACTGCAGCCTTGTGTTTTCAAAACAAAAATATATTCTTTATTCGTATTTAAATAAGAAAAATATAAATCTATCTACATAAATTACTAAAAAAAATTTTTTGTTTTTTTTCATAAATTTTTATTCATATTTTTATATTTTGAAATACACAACATTCATCATATAATCACTCATGTTTAATTTATATTCTTTCAACTCAAATATATTAAGAATCGTTGCATGCTTATGTACTGACAAAAAATGCCGGACGAAAATTATTACCTGTAAAGATGTCAGAAAATTATTAATTTTACTAATTATAAGAGTTGAATCTTTTTTAATTAAATGCAAATATAATATATAAAAAGTACATAAAACTATAATTTGTGTTATGAAAACATAATTAATTACGAATATAATTACGAATATATATACTTCTTTTATATCCTCAATAAATTTTTGAAGTATATTCGAATGTTTTCTATATATTTACGTAATAATATTTATGAATATGATTTTACTTAAACTTTTTTTGTAATATAATATGTGATTTGTAAAGTACAATATTTATTTTTATATTTAAATATGTAAAATTAAATATTTTGATTTTAATTTTGAAGTAAAATTGTGTGTGTGTGTGTAACTTTTTTTTTGTAAACAGAAATCATAGACGAAATTTTACTCTCTTCCAGTTTTCTTATCTTTATTCTTATTTTTAAATCTGACTCTTTGAGTCACAGAAGTGAGCTGTAATCTTACGAAAGAGTTTTGATTCATTTGTTTGTCTCACTTGTACTTTTGGCTAATCTCTCGTAATGTCCATGTGCTATTTTTGGCGACCGAGATATGTAAACATACGGTGCACCTGTGGCGCATATCAACATAATTTCCGTTTTGCCGTATTTCGGATGCGGGAGGTGTTAACAGGTGCGCGCAGGTGTTCTTGGTTCTCGGCAGGTGGATTGCGTGCGGTTGTACGTCAGAACAACGGCGCCCGTTCTATTCTGATTCATTTTATTGGTCGGCTGTGCTGTATTAGTCGTCACGGTTACGCTTTCTTTCAGTATGCTCTCGCTATCGCGCGTCACATGACTAACGTGCAATGTTATTCCGAGCTCTACTGCGAAGCGTTTATTTCTCACGTTGCATAATATCGATAATAAAAGAAGTCGAGTTTTCAGTAGTAAACAGTACAGTGATAATTATGTATAATAGACATTTGCGGAAAAAAATGTCACTAACTATATTGCGTATTTTATTATGCAATTAAGACACTTAATTGAAATGACGTAATTTATTCTGATAATAAATTTGCATTTATCGTGCAAATGCAAATATTTATATTTTAAGTTGAAAGTCCGTAATAGTTATTATAAAGTAAAGAGGAAAAAAAACTGGAGAGAAACATTTTATTTTTACTATCTGCACATATACATTAGGTAAATGAGAACAAGTATAATTTATTCCGAGAAATAAAAAGAAGTTTTATTTCAGTAATAGAATAAATAATATTTCCATTGGATAATGAAATTAATTAATGTTACATTACGAAACATTTGTTATTTAAACGTGTAAAATTTATTTTTTAAGTAATATAAAATATATGCAAAAGTACGAAGTAAGAGTAAAATTGAAATAAATTTAATTGTAGGATTAAACTTATATTTTCTTATCATTCTAGTGTCATCTTGTTAAGTGGGTATGTCAGAGATTCACTATATCAAATCTTTCATTATATATCAATATGGAATATTATATTTACGTGAGGAGAAACAAAGTCGGAGACAAAATAATTTTAGTTATACATTTTAATTATTTATTAATTTATTCAGATCTATTTATTACATTATATGTACATTATTCAAATGATGCGAGAACGCGAGAGCAAGAAAGCAGATCCGCGAAGTAGAGAGAGAACGATCTCGTTAAAGACGCGAGCGTTCCACGTGCGCATAACAGATATTAATTGACGAATAACGAGACGTCGTGCGTCGAGAGAGAGCGATGCCAGGCGCAATAGAGCCGTGTGTCGCGGCGATGTCGATGAACTCCGGGAACGCGCGTCTCATTTTTCCGCGGTGAGTGCATCCCGCGAGATTCGGAAGACGACGACGCAGGTGAAGGGATGGGAGAACCATCCGGACGCGGAGATGCGCGATTTTATCGGCACGGCTACGTAAGCACGTTATTCGGCGAGAGCTATTAATAAATATTCGACGTACTCACGGCCGAATTGTGCTGTTAATTTCATTCCGCGGCGGATTCCCGACTCGTGCACCTCGATATACGCGCGAGAGAGAGAGAGAAAGAGAGAGAAGGAGAGTTTATCACGTCATAAGACAAGATTATACGACGCGTGCGATTAGATTAATGTCTCTCTTGGCGATGTCCGGGATTTTTGCGATCAACCATTCGATTCACACTAATCTCACCTTTTTTTTTTTACTTTCATCCTGGCGCCAGTACTGATTAAGACGTTTATTTTGTTGTGCCTGTATTTCTCGCGATATTTCTACTGGTACACTTCTAAACGATACGAATCTAATCTCTTCTTGCTTTTTTTATTTAGTGGGGTCAATAGAGCTTTCTTCGTGTTTTATTTTTACATTTTGTTGCTAACGAAGATATTTTTTTTTTTTTACATTCTTGTCAACGCAACTGGTGTATATCGCAAAATTTTTAAATTGAAAAAAATATATTTAATCTCCGTTTTTGGCCCCGTTAAATCTGGAGTCATTACAGATTTGTCGTCTTGTACGAAATGTGAGATTTTTTTAGCTTGCCGTTATCGCGATACAAAGTATATGTCGCCGCGGTAATAGGCTTTTAATTTTTTATGAGTTGATCTATCTAAATATATCTGAGCTCGAGAAATGCACGATCTTTTGGCAAGAGAAACAAATTATATCGCGCATGAAAAATTATCGAAGTTTATATGACAGTATGACAACTGTGTTGCATTTCATAATGGAGCTAAAGCTGTCGATAATAACGCATAAGATATGATTTGCATCATTTATATATACATATATATATATGGTAGACAATTATCGTTTGAGCTGTGTAGATTACGTGCGTGTGTTGGATTAAACCAATTAAAACATAGTTTCAAGGATGAATTCTAGATCCTGCGCAGCGCGCATTATCACGATTGCGAATTTTCGCGTAATTGGATTTCGATCGCGCATAATTCGCATTAGTTATCAGGGAAAACTCCGATTTTGACAGTTTCATCCTTTGTTCGTGAAATTCTGTGATAATTTCGCCATAAAAATGTAATAGAATAATCATAATAAAAATGAGTTGTCGTATAACAAAATTTACTTCTGCCGCAGCTCTGGGAGCAACAGAAGCAGCTGGAGGAGCAGAGGCGAGAAAAGGAAAGGCTCGAGGCTCTCAGGAAAAAGGACAAGCATGATCACAGCGCGAACGCGTCCACGGAAGTGAAGCAACGCCTTCAGGTGAGCCTTGATTTCCTGTTCCTCTATTCGTCACGATAAAAATGTTAATATTATACGACGATGTTTGTAAATTTATGCAAGGATTAATCTCGCGATTTCCTTTCAGAAATACGCTCATATTTATTACATTATCAACCGAGAAGCAATATCTCTGAAGTAGAGATAAGCGTTTATAGATAATGTTTAGTGACAAAAGTTGAAAGGAAAAGAGTAAACAAACGATTTCAGATTGCGGATTAAAATTTACGAACTTTGATATTTGACGTAAACGTTAAAATAATCTTGCTTTAATCCATTTAAAAGAAAATTCGAAAGAATAGAATTTTATCAAACGCCCGTTTATTTCCGTCTACAAAAAAAAAAAAATCCATCGAGTAATCCAGTCAAAGCCCAAAGTATTGATTTTCTGAGTCGTGAATGACACGCGCTCTGGATCTCGCGCGAATTTATAATTTTTTATTTACGAAGTATTCGCGATTACAGAGCTTCCTGGTGAACAAGAAGCAAAGGGAGGCAGCTGCAGCGGCAAACGGAGCGGTACCTGGCACGCCCGGATACAGGAGCTGGTAAGATTCTATACGGCATGCGTAATTATGTTGTAGAATGATTGGATAATGGAATTCTTGAATGTTTCGTGAAATGCTTCTTATAAATTTGTATTTAGGAAAAAAATTTTTCTTTGTCATTTGAACAACTCGAAATGAGGCACCAAGTAAAACTCGTGCGTATAAATACCACCAATATAAATTGATCGCTTGCACCGATAATTGATTAGCAGGCGCGCGCGAGGGACTAATCCTCGAAATCATTTCTGTTAACACATTACACAAGCAGTGTGTGCATATAATCACGCTGCTTAAATATAGATATACGTGCATAACAGATTCCCAAGTTTGATACAGATAATAAATGACGCGCGTAGTGCGTCACTCTAATGCGAGTGATAAAATTGTTTTACATTTTATATCAAACGGACTTTGTTTTTAATGAATTTTCATTCAATGTTTAATGTGCCGGGATGTTTAATATTGAAAATTGATCAGTTTATTAGATTCCAAATTGCCTCTGAAATATTCTTTTTCAAATTTTTGTACTCAACAAAGGTGTTTAAATGTTGCGCTTCTAGTGGTCTCTCTTTTATCAGATATAGATATAGTATTATTTTGAAAAAAAAACGTCCTATTATATCAATCTATGTTTGGAGATACGGTACTTTTTAACTTTGTGATGTTTTTTATCGAGTGTGCTTTTTTTATCATAAATATTTATATTCTCTTATAATTTAAAAATAAAGACAGAATGTTGGAAATTAGATTGTTCCACTTCTAGGATAATTTTAGAATAAGTTAAAAAATATTAATTTCTTGAAGTCCCGATCGGTTTTAGACATACCAAATCAAAATTTGCACGTCGCGTCGTTTCGGTTTTAATGGGTCGTCGCGATCGTCGTCGTTAGTCTTCTCCGCCGCCGACGAAGTAACGGTAATAGCACAACCTGGCCCAGTTATCCATTTAGCAACGGCCGATGTGCTCTCAGCGTTATTTCCTTGTCTCCCCGCCAATAATAACTTTGCCCTAAACGTATGCACACGAGGCAATTAAAAGTACGTATTTTTCGTCTAAACTCAGAAAGTCGCAGACAACACCTATTATCTCTGATTTATGAAAATGTCTACAATTTGTATACAAATCGGACAAGATTCGGAGTAGATTAATTAATTCAGAAAGATTTGACAAAATCACTTTAAAAATAATTAATTCAAAAAGAAATATTAATTGAATAAAAATAAATTGTAAAAAAGTATGTGAAATATTGTTATTTTTCAGCTTTATTATTGCAGTTTTTAGATTTACAATTTCTAAATAGATTTTTTTAAATAAGATTTTAACGTCATATTTTAATACAAATTCTAGAACATTTCACTTTTTATTAATCTTCTTTGAAACTCAATATGTAATTCGATATAAACAGTACCTCGAACTTTGTTTTTATCTAGGCTACAACCACAGTCGGAATCATCGAGCACTACGAATGCGGCGCATCCATATCGAATGCCGCAAATGCTGCAGGAGAAGTTCGGTGACGATTTCCCGCTCAGAAAAACAGGTAATTGTCCGGAAATGTGTTCCATGATTTATGCATACTTCGTACAGATAGTTTATGTGTGCCGATAGAATGTCTACTAAAGCATGGTGTTTCGCTATCCGAGAAGCGAGTTGAGTCCTAAAGCAACAGCTTACGCGTCGACGCGCAATATCCGCTTTGATTATGATTTCAACCGCGAATATAAAAAGAAAAATGATGATAACGATTTCCCTCGATAAGATTCGCTCGATCGAATTATTCGGTGAGAACGTCGACGGCGTACGGCAAATCTATACGTCGCGTTTTGTCGTCGAACTAATTACTCGTGGGTCTCTGATTAGTTTCTTTGAATATTCGTTCCTTCTGCACGTGACACTTTAATTTACGCCTGCCTGGCTTAAAGAAAAAAAAAATGTCAAGATCATTTCGTTCGTTCGCTGGCTGTCGCTAATATGCGAGCTTGTAAATTACATCGCCGCTACTTAACGGACGAATTATCGATTAACGCGTGCATTATCTCCGCTGATATACGCTAATTTACCTGAAGAAAATGCCAGCGTGTTTAACGTACGTCGGAAAATTCGTATGTAGAAGCACGTACTTGCGATCCGATGAGGAAGCATGCACGGCCTAGTCTTGTTCCCACAACAGTTCGTGTTTATTGTTTAAAAATAGCATTGCTATACCCCGACTTATTGCACTAGATGCATAATTGCCACAAATCTGCAAAAGGAATTGCGATGAGGATAGATTTTGTTGAAGCAGCATTAGGAATACGCACGTGAATTTTCAACTGGAAAACGTAAATGGTTTCTTCCGTATTTCTTCGTTCACATTCAATTTCCCTCTTTATCTAACTTCAATATAATAAACTCATGATAATTAATTAAACTCTATTTTTCTTTTTTTGTTTTGCGTCGGTTCGTAATTAGTAATTAGTTTTTCTCTGCGTAATTAAATATAATATTCGACCGTAATTTGATATTACTTAATTATCTTACTACATTAAGGATGAATTTTTCGTATGTACATTTTTACATTAATATTGATATAACATGTTTTAACATTTAAATTGCAGCTTTTTACATACATTTTAATTAGAGTTTCTGTAGCAAATATGTGAAAATATCAGTCTTAAAAATTATATTTGAATTTTTGTGTGACAATCAGAAAATTATCGGTGAAATCTCGCGTGATGTCACCATGTCAAGAGACATGGTTTGGTTTTGTTTCATTATCTTATGAGAGACCTTTCCTCAGCCGATTCAGGAACAGTAGTCAAAGTGACAGAAATACTGCTCTAAGTTACAACAAAGGAGTATTACAAATTTCATGGGTGCAGAAACATTATTTACTAATTCAATACTTTCAAATTGCTTGAGTTAACATATCTTAACTCGCCTGGTATACTAAATTAATAAATATTGACTCTTGCAAAGCTCGTGTGACATGCGTGTCGACGCTTCCTTTTTACTTTTGTCACTCTTTGTTTATCTACAAAAAAAAAAAAATAAAAAATTGTTTTCGTAACAATTTAACCGTTTCTGTCTACATTTAGTCACTTTGGCTTCAATTGCAAATCGCGCGTAGCCGCTTGCCCAGACGAGTGTCACAGGGAGGCCTCTTTGTAATCACATCCGCGTGCTTCTCTCGCGATATGTGCGCGCCAGCCAACCGATAATACGAGCGAGCGAACGTGAATGCGAGCGCGAGACGACGACGACGGCGGCGATCGTCTCTCGTATCGTGTTCCCGTGCCTTTAGTTCCGTCCCCCTCCACCCCCCCCCCTCTCTCGTCCCTGTTGACAATGACCGACTAACAACCGGCTGAAAAATTGGCCAGCCTCGGAGCCGAACTTGCTGAAGGTGCGACTAAAACAGCGCGTGGAGAGGAACATGGCGGCGTCGAGAAACTCACCCCTGATGGTGCGCCGGAACAACCGTTTGCTGTCGCACCTCAAGCGGAAGTCACTACTAGCAAGTACGTTCCTCTCTCTCACACACACACACACACACACACACACACACAATCGAGCTTCCTTCGAGAGGACTGCCATACATTCTTAGAATGAGAGTTCTCTCTGTTCTTCCTCCGCGTGAGCATATTCGCCGATGATACTATCACATCATCCTCATTTCTCTCTCTCTTTCTCTCTCATTGCACCCCGAGTGTTCGATTAATTGACTGTTGGAGTTTTTGACGTTTGCTACTCACTTCCCCTGTAACAGCATGAACGAAACTTCTCTCCGATTAACATATGTAAATTAGCGCTGAAAAGAAAACTGTGTCCGGGCCGTATTTGAAATTAATCAGCCGCTGACAACGAGGCTGCCGAGATAACGCGACGCGCGTTGAAAAACCGTCCGAAGAAGAAATTTTGGATATTTTTTGAACGGACTGCGCTGTTTTTGGATCGACTCCGCGCGGGAGCGTCGTCGTCACGGCCGAAATTACTTGCACACGTTTTGCATTACGAAGTCGGGACTATTTTCGGGAGTTCATTAAGCCGTCCATCTGTTCGCGCGTTACAAATGCAATTTCGAGAGCGCGCGGATTTATTCATTATCTCGTATACGTTCTTGTTGCGCAATACGCGGCGACACGTGTTTCTCCTTCTCCTTTCCCGCCTCCTCAAGGTTCCGACTCGTATTAATTGTATATTTTTCAGACTCTGGCAGCAATCCCGAGTCCGGGCCTAATTCTCCTCCAACCGTGAACAATTCTCAAGCCAGTCCCACCGCTGGAAGCAACACAGCGATACAGGAAGTAAGTTCGTCAGCTTTCGTTGGGCGCATTTTTTTGTTTTACGCCGCGAGAAGCGAGATGTCATCTTGCGATTTGCGATTTGCAGGAAGGCGAAAACCCGGCGTACGGAGGACGTCTCACTAGTAGTAGTCAACAGGGCAGCCTTTCGGATCTTTCGCTCTTCAGTTCGCCGTCCATGCCCAACATCTCGCTGGGCAGACCCCACGTGCCATCAAGCTCTTCGGTAAGTGTACGTATTCAATTTGCAATTACGACTTGTGTAATGAAACAATTTAATTTAAAACTTTCGTATCCGTCTGTGTGAAACGTGGATTTCTTTTTTACTTGTCAAGAATTCGTTTATAAATTTAATATGTTCAGTACTATAATCCATAGTCGAAATTTTGTATATGTCTTAATATTATTTTTATTTTTAAGATTAGTATTATTTACAATTTAAAAATTAGTATTATTTTAATTTTTAAATCCATAATTCTTTCCAATACGTTTGTTTAAACGCACGATTCTTTTCCATTTATCTCTATCCATAAATTCTTTCAATTTAGAATTTTAGGTTTTTCTTACGAAGCATATTACTGGATAATTTTAGTTGTGGATAAATGAAATTAATGAAATTATCGAAGTAATTTGACACTGAAATAATTTGTTGAATTAACTCTGTCGGGTTTGTGTCGTTAGAATATTAAAGCGGTATCGATTTTCCTGAAATATTTTCGACTGTCTGACGGAACGCTTGTTCGGCTATTCTTTGCCCGTAGAGCGGGACGAAACTGGCGCCGGTCTCAGAAGCGGAAAGACGCGCCGCATGTACGGCGCGTCTCGGCATGCCGCTCACCGGTCAGATGCTGCACAACACTCTGCCGTTCTATCCGACCCTGACGGTCATCGAGGGCGAGACGTACATCCACAAGCCCTTGCAGCAAAACTTGCAGGAGCAGGCAACGCCGCCGTCCGCGGCTGTGGGCGGCAGCAGGCAGCATCCCGCAGCGGCGGGGGCAGCGACGGTGTATCACACCGCGGCGCCGATCACGGATATACAAGTAGCGCACGCGAGACTGCATAAGGCTGGTCACCGGCCTTTAGGTAGTATGTTCCCTCTTTGTCTTCGTAGAAGCCCTTACCGCGCGCGTGCCCTGTTCCAATGGAAAATGGTTTCCGCCGAGAAAATTGCGACTTCGGAAGCGAAGCTGGATTCTTGCTCCGGCCGTTTCAAGTCTCTCGGGAAGGAACCATTCCCGCGCGAAACACAGCACGCGTTTTCCAAATAAAAACCCCTTGCCAGCCAATGTGTCGGGGCCTAAGCGTTACACGGCTTCTTCTTTTCATCACGCATAGGCAGAACCCAATCCGCGCCCTTGCCGCTGGGCCACCCAATGCTGCAGGGCGGCATAATCGCCCCTACCACCCATTACGAGGAGTATCTTGCGGAGAAGCAGCTGCACGATCAGCAGCAGGCGCACAACTACCTGAAGCAACAGATCCGCCAGACGGTTCTGACGCGAGTGGGCTCGCGCGGTCAGGCGAATCAGCTGGACGAGGCACCCGAGACCGAGGAATCCGAAGTGATCGACCTCACAGGCAAAAAGGACCATCCGGAAGAGAGTGAGATCTCGAAACAGCAAAGGGACCGTGAACAATTTCTGCAACAGCAAAGGGATCTCATGATGAGACACACGCTGCAGACGAACGAGTCGACCATCTACGCCGGAAGCAGGACCGCTCAATCGGCCAGGCCGCTATCGAGGGCGCTGTCGAGCCCGCTAGTGCACCTAGGTAAAGCTTCCACTCTTTCTCACTCTTTGCAGTGACGCACTAAAAATCTTGTTCAGTTATCTTGGACGTTTTTCGAGACGTTAAGTATGCCCTTGCCTGGTGCGTTTGGATGGATTTGCATTTGGCTTCCATTTTTTTTTATCGATCGTGTGCAATTTGAAGATTTCTTCAGCTGCTCTTTCGCCTGTACGGAGCATAAAATATCGAAATAATATCCGCCTTTTAACTTGATCTAAAATGCTTTCGACGATTTGCGATGTTCTGTGAATTGAATATAATGCTCGGAAAATATCGGATCGCTTTATGAAATTCGAATTTATTTTCGCAGGTCCCCAGGGCAGCGGCGGCGACATGTTCGCGCGAGGCTCTCCGCATCGACCCACCACGGGATTAGCCTATGATCCGTTAATGCTGAAGCATGCGTGCGTTTGCGGCGAAACTGTCCGAGGCCATCCGGAACACGGTGGCCGATTGCAGAGTGTGTGGGCAAGACTGTCGGAAACAGGCCTGTTGCAACGTTGTGATCGAGTGCGTTCGCGCAAGGCCACGCTCGACGAAATTCAGACTTGCCATAGCGAAGCGCATGCACTCCTATTTGGTAAGGCATTAAAATAAATAAAATGGAATCTTGTATTTCTATCTGATATTTTAAACAAACAAACGGTCTAGAGTTTTTAAATGTAAAATTTTCATACGATATAAGATTCTAAGGCGTAAAAATGAATAATAATTTAATAATAATTTTTTTAAATTACATGAATTATTTTAGTTATACGAATTATAATTTAATTATATGAATTAACGAATAAAAATTTAATTATTCTTTTTTTCTAATTTGTTCCGTGGTGTGCGCAGGAACGAATCCGTTGAATCGACAGAAACTGGATATGGCGAAATTGTCGCAGTTGCCTATTAAGAACTTTGTCCGACTTCCATGCGGCGGAATCGGGGTTGATTCCGACACGACGTGGAACGAACTTAATACCGCACCTGCCGCCCGAATGGCAGTGGGATGTGTCGTTGATCTTGCGTACAAAACGGCGGTGGGCGATATTAAAAATGGCTTCGCCGTGGTGAGACCGCCCGGACATCACGCGGAGACCAACCAAGCCATGGGCTTCTGCTTCTTTAATTCAGTAGCAATCGCGGCCAAGCTGCTTCTTCAACAGAAGGTCGACGTTAGAAAAATTATGATCTTAGATTGGGTAAGAATCGCCATTGTTCATCGTGCGACACGATTTTGCGCTAAGCGTTTGGCGAGACAATACGCATTATCACTGCTTCAAATTTAGACCCACGCTTACATCGCAAACGTAAACAACGCGATAAATATAATAGAATCGGGATTGTAGCCAAGATGGTTGCCGATTATAAATATCTCCGGCGGCGAAGATGGCACATTATATCATACGCATTTTACATGTTCGATCAGGACGTCCATCACGGGAACGGTACTCAGCAGATGTTCTACGATGATCCGCGGGTGCTGTACCTGTCGATACACCGACACGACGACGGCAATTTCTTCCCGGGAACCGGCGGACCCACCGAATGCGGCGCCGGCGAGGGTCTCGGCTATAACGTGAACGTAGCGTGGTCCGGCTGCTTGAATCCGCCCATGGGTGACGCGGAGTATCTCGCAGCGTTCCGCACAATCGTGATGCCGATCGCGAAGGAATTCGATCCGGACATCGTGATCGTCTCGGCTGGTTTCGACGCGGCCGTGGGCCATCCGGCTCCGCTGGGCGGCTATAAAGTTAGCCCGGCGTGCTTCGGCAGGATGACACAACAGTTACTTAATCTGGCGGACGGTAAGGTGGTCCTCGCTTTGGAAGGCGGCTACGATCTGGCGGCAATCTGCGACTCGGCACAAGAATGCGTCCGGGCGCTGCTCGGCGACGAGCCCAGTCCGCTCCGAGACGAGGAGCTCACGAGGATTCCTTGTCAGAACGCCATTGACACGCTGCAGAAGACCATTGCCATTCAGGTAAATTGAACGTCATTTGTGTAATCTTAAACTTGCATACTTTTTTATTTATCAAAGCAATTTTTCATTCTTTTTACTCTGTCGTTCTGCCTAATTTTTAATCTATTATTGTATTTATTTCACTCTTCGAAAATTATTTCATCACCGTTGAGATATGTTGGAAAATCACCTTACGTCAAGAAAGTTCATCGCAAGTCTTGATGCAAATTTAATATGTATTATAATTTCTTAGATGTCGCACTGGCCCTGCGTAAAACTCGCTGCTCACACAGTCGCGATGAGCGCGCTAGAAGCGAGCCAAAAAGAACATGATGAAACGGAAACGGTGTCCGCAATGGCCTCTCTGTCTATGCAGCAGCCTACGAACCTCACGTTAGTATTAAGTTCTGTCCTTTTAATTATCTAATATTATTCCACTATTTAAAAGTGCATTTATATCGGATCAACAGGACTACGCCAGAACATTCCCGAGAGGTTTCCGAGGAGCCAATGGAGCAGGACGACGGCAAATGAATTGCTTGAAGATCATTCTGCTAGTTGTAGTAGAAAACGTAACTAATTGTACGAAACTGTGTAAATGCTCTTTGTGAGATCTCTAGAAGTGCATTTCTCAGTGCAAATCGGGTTGGGGGGGGGGGGGACTCGTCACTATATTGCACACGGCTGCCGTGACAGGTGCACGATCCAGCCACGAGTGTTCCACTTGCATAGGAACATAGACGACGGCGCGTGAAAATTCGCGCATAATCCCGATTTTCAATATTTTTCAACAAGGCAGTAGTTTAAATAAAACAACGGCCAAGTAATAAGGAAGAAGAGATCTGCAAGATTTCGGAGGCCGATTTGCAATAGCATATTCATGGACCTCCCTTTCTTTTTTTGTGCTAGACATGAAAATACAAAGTTGTGAATTTGTGAGTCTTGCAAATGTTTCTATTGTTTATCGCGGTACTTGATACGCGAGATTGTTGTACAGTTAGCTACGAAGAACAAATTGAATTTGTTGCTTCGTAGATTTTCTTCTTCTTTTTTTTTTTTTTATTGGGAAAGCAAGGTTTGTAATGTTTTTAAACGAGTTGCTGTTAACATTGTTGAGATAAACTCGAGCGCGCTAAACAACCTTTTGCCCACCATTTGGATATCGTCTGGCGAATTTTCGATCCCAGTGTCTTATCAACGAACAACGAATGATTTTAAGATTCGATGTTGAGTCAAAACTGGAATGGGGACATTTTTATAACGTTAAACTATCCTTGTTTGAACGGTTCCATTTGATTATCGCGAAAAATGAGTAGCAGAAGCGCATCATCGTTCGATCATTCGGTAGTAAAACAACTTGTGAATCCACAACATTCTGTTTGAAAATGGCGTTAGATGTCCGCAAGCGTCTTGTTGACGTTTTCGTGTAAGTAGTAAAGGTACCGAACTTTCTCACAGCTGTATAAAACAAGTCTGATGCATCGTGTTGCCTTGAATAATTCGCAGGAAGAATTAATTATTCGTGATAATTCCACGTTGCCGTATATATTTTTGAATGCTAATTGCAACCTTGGACATCTATTTAGAACACTTTCAAGGAATCGTATTTTATCGAAACATTCAGGGAGATAAGTACAGGGAACTTGAGAAAAAGCTGTATTAACACAAGAAATATGTACCTCGAATCGTAAAGATTCTTTTTGTATCGCGCCTATTGTTACGAAAGACATGAGCATACTGTAGATAATGCAAAATCTACCATGGAGGATTATATGGTTTTCCGATATAAAGTTATCGATTCGTGACTGCGAGAACATCGATACAAGCGTCTTTATTTAAATAGGATTTCAATTTTTTAAGGCTAAAATGTTCTAGAAATCGTCAAACGGAAATATTGCGGAAAGAGATTGGAACGACATTCAATGAAATCGTTGTTTCTCATCTATTTTTCGTAATGAATAAAAAACAAATATACGAGTAACATGAAGATGTTACTCGATTGAGAAGAAAAATTTGTTAAATATTTTATACGGGAACTCTTTTCCTCGCGAGATGAAAGAGATTTCCCCTTGAGAATATTAATTCGTAAAAATTGTTGAACAGTTGTAAAAAGTAAATCGTTGGTAAGATGATTCCACGTCGAGAATACTTTCCGAAACAAACAGTTGCGCAAATGGATTGCGGAATGTATAAATCTTAGGAAGTATCGGACTGTCTAACGATGCGCATAGAAAAAGAATCGTTCTTTGAATTGTCAAAAATTTTCATGTGTGCATGCCAGGCCTCGCTAGAAGAAATAATGTGCAATAAGAACAATTGGACAAACGTGTATTTATAAAAGACAGTAGATGTATTTTCTTCGCCTTCACGCGCGCGACCTACGTGCGGTGAAGACGCGTACGTGCGCATCGTGCTGGTCACTAGCGCTTCATTTGTCTCGTCGTCTGATCCGCTTTTCCTGTTCTTCGGGCATTCGAAATGTACGAGCTGGCGATAGCTCTCAATGCATGAATACTTTTTTTTTTTCGAAACAAGGCGACTTACTCGTGATACATAAAAAAGAAAAAAAAGTCGATGTTTAGATCCTAAGACGATATTATGTCGTATGCGCGAATATATGGAAGTGTATGTGTATGCGACCCCACGTGCTGCGCTGAAATGTGATAAGACAGCCGACGATGTCATTGTACCGCGCCGAAATACTGAGAGATGCCATGACACATTGCCCTTCGACACATTCAGCTGCTGTTAAATAATGCTAAAACAGCATGAATAATCTTCAGTTCCGCAAAAAAAAAAGGGGGGGGAGGAGAAGGGAAAAGAAGATTACTTCAGATTGAAATTAATTCTTATCTAAAATTTTCTCGCTGCCATTTACACTTACTCGTATAACAAGTTTGACACAACTTGTGCGCCGCAATTTAAACAATTTTATTCAATAGAATTTTGATTTACAAATAATTATTTGTATATTGAGCTATTAATTGAAGCATAATAATATGCACGTTAAAATATATATTTGAAGTATAAATCAAGAGAATCGAAATTGATTGAAACTCGTAGAAATATTTGTTGCATAAAGTTTTTCGTTTGTCCGCTATTACGCAAATCACTGCCAATGATAAATATACGGTGTGGTCACATGTTTCCGCGAGCACGTGTCGTCTCATCTCGATACAGCGTTAATATATGTTGTTAATGTTTTGAAATGCGAAGGCGAAGCGCAGAACGAGCCGGAGGCTACCGTTCTGACGAGATTTTTAACAACTTGGTTTCTTTGCTGCGAACAAAGGCTGGTGTGATTTTTGTGATATTTTGTAAAAAGAAACTAAGCTATATATGATTAATTAAAAGTATACGTCGCGGTGATGTGTGTACGAGAGAGAGAGAAAGAGAGATAGCGAGATAGCGAGAAGGTAAATATAATTCACAGATACAAGCATTTATTTTTGTGTCATGCATTTTATGGAGAAAAGAATAAAAAAAGAAGAAACAAAAATGAATATCTATTGATAAACGAGTTAGGAGTATAATACATAAGTATCCTAATTTATTTATCAATATATCTATATAAATATATGAAAGAGTTTGTCTTGCAAGAAATAAAGAATATATAATTCTATATATGTATATATGTATATATATATATATATA